TGGATTTGAAAATGTGGTCAGGTAACAATATTAGAGACTAGTATGAAAACACAAAGCTTTTGAATACATTTTTTGTAAATTTTTTTGGAAATTTTTGTAAAGAACTTATGCATATAGTAATTGACATCATGGAGATGACAAGAATGATACAATAAGTATTGAATTTATAAAGTTTTATGTCGAGGTATCTCTATTTTAAAATTTCTATAAATTGTTTCCAAGAAACGATACAGCGAGATTTAACTCCCATAAAGCAAACAAATAATTGCGGTTCATAATAAACAGTTCTTTGAAATTGCTTTTCGCTGATTCAATATTAAATAAAAATTGTGAAAGCAGTTTTCATATGCAAAGAATTCCATTTGTTGTACTAGATTCATACTGCACTAATTTCACGCGAATGAGTTTCAAATACATATAATTATATACTAAATGTACGTCCCATCAACTTCTGCAAATCATGACAAACGTTTTTTGCGTATTTTTACTGAACGTGAGAGCAATAATAGAATGAAATTACTTAGCAAAGTATGACGTTAGGAAATTGCTTCTAGTAATCCGTAACTAAATAGAATATAAATACTAGGTTAAGATGTACATGTGCAACCGATGAGTGCTCGGTTGAAAAACTATTATGCCATAGAAGAAAATACATAATTAGTTGCATGATTGACAGAATGTTCTTAGTCATCGTAACGATTTCTTATTTGTTGCTCAAAAATCAATAAACATTATGATTTGTGTTGTTAGTATGATATTTTATAGTGATTTTAACATAATTGCTGTAATATACGATTATATAATAGTTAATTATAATTTTGATTTGTAATGTCCATACTAAGATTTTGAAATATATACTCGCAAAAGGTAGGGCAATGCACAAAGGTTCAACTTGACTATAAGCAATTATATTGCGGAAACCAAACCAATATGTAGACCTAAAATTAGGGTAAATGTTGGAATAATATAATTATAAAAGAAATCTCAAAAGTCCACATCGTTTCCTTGCGAGCTAAAAAATTGGCACAAGGTCAAAGAACAGAAAAATGAATTTGTTCGATTTTTAGCTAAATGATCAATATAAGCCACCTACTAGATAGTGTGCTTAGCACCTCTTTTTACGTGATTTATCTAGTAGGCCTATTTCACGGGTCTGTTGTTATTTAGTTTGTTTCGGAACTATTGCAAAATTTTTCTGATTCTCCTGATTCCCTGATTATTCTGATTCCCTGTTGGTTCTCCTGATTCTCCTGATTCTCGTGATACTCTCTTGGTTTTCTTGATTCTCCTGATTTTTTTAATTCTCCTGAATCTTCTGATATTTCTGATTTTCTTGATTTTTCTGATTCTCCTAATTTTGTTGATCTTCCTGATTCCTCTGATTCTCCTGATACTCTTGATTATTCTGATTCATCTGATTTTTCTGATTCTCCTAATTCTCCTGATTTTTTTGATTTTTCTGATTTATTATTTAACTAAATGCATCAATTTCGAAAAGGCTATTTTACTTGGAAACAAATCTAATACAAAACTCATAACCTTTGCGTTTTTTATTTGAGTTTGTCGATTTTGCAATGTATAAACTTCTTTCTTTTCATCTTTATTTGGTAAATAGAAATAGATTTGAAAATTTAGCTTGGCAAAATTTAATGAAGTTGGGATCAAAATTGTATTTTTACAGAAATAAAGATCAACGATCATATCAAATATTTTGATACGTTTGTCAGTGTATAGTTTACACTGGAATTAAAAATTTGCACATGTTTTATTCATTGTTTAATAGAGTTATAAAATGGTTATTAATACAGATAATACAGATTGCTAATACACACACACATGTATATATATATATATATATATTATTTTAAAAAATTATATTCCGGTTCCCAACCGCGTAATCATTAGTCATTCGGAAGATTAATATATAATTATGTGATTATAACAACATTTGTTTTTATTCATTAGACTTTCTAATTTCAAGGAGGGCTTCCGAAATAAATAATATAAATCTCAAAAGCCTTCATTAATTAACCTTAGAATGAGATACAAAATGTCTAAGTATTTAATTTACCTTGTGATGCTACATAATATTGCTGGAAGCCAAGGCTAATTATAGCGAAGTTATACAACTTTGATATCTAAATTAAATATGTATATACACACACACATATATATATATATATATATATATATATATATATATATATATATATATATATATATATATATATATATATGTACACCAAATAAAAGTTTATATAAATATGAGTAATACGCCAATATATGACTAATATGCCAATGTCTAATTTTGCATTTCATTTCAAGCTTTCTATGAATATCTATTAATTGTAACAACTCAATTAACATGTTGAAAATGTTTATGTAATTTATCTATGTATATAATCTACTGTCATATAAACTATAATCTTTTATAAAACTTAATCACTCTGTTATAAATGCTTGTACGAACACACATACTATATATGTACATAAATTTTAATTTATGTTTATTACCTTTAAATTATTTTTTTACATAATTGATGGTTACGAAGGACTCTGAACTACTCACAAATAGGCCTATAGTTAAAAACCCGGAAAATGAATTTGTGATAGTGCATTAAATGTCGTCGTTGATTTTGGGAACTAAGAAAATTAATTTAACTGTGTATTTTAGTGCTCGAGGTATATATTATGTAGAAACCAGTGACCAAAAACCATTTGCTCTGGGAAAACCAAAAAACAGCAAAAGACAGGGTGGAGTACCCGGAACAAAAGAAGTGAAAAGAGAAGCCATACACCGTGTCAGGAAACGACAAGCCAAACGACGTCACTTCCCCATCAAATGATTCACTTTGTAGAATCCACGATGAGTAGTTACAGAAATTAGAAAAAAATGTTAATAGAAATGAATTCAATACAGATTATTTTTAATATTACTATTTATATTTATATATGTTGATTGAAGTTGGAATTGAACTACGAGACATAAATAGGTCTAATAATTTATTTATATGTTTAATAATTTAATAATAATTTATTTATTCTAACCTCATAAACCTTCTTTAAATATTTATTGATTAATTATACCATATACAAAGAAATTTCAATAGGTGTAAGTGAAATTTCAAAGATGTGACAATCGAAATTTTGAGGCAGTCCATTATTCCAAAGTTAATTATGAATTATTATCAATTATTAATTATGAAAAATCGGTACGTAAGATCTTGACTAATAACTAATCAGCAGGATTCTTAATTAGTACCTTTTAAACAGTTTTTAAATATTTAAAAATGTTTTTTTTTTGAAAACGTGGACAAAGGGTTTGCACTTTTTTGGTAATAATATAAATAACAGCTAGGGTGAGTTAAAAAGTAAAAGTATACAGAGAACAAATTTGAAATTAATTTACCAATAATTAGTTTGATATTTTCACAATCCACAAAGAAACAATCGTTAACATGTTTAATTAGTAGAACACAAAGAAATTAATTTAATTGAAAAGTTTTATGTTAGTTATGCTACGGTGTAAAACATTAAATGCTAATAGCCACAATGCAAATTTAAATTTATATACTTTAGAGTTTATAACTCTTAACGTATGATAGTATGATTGGCAAAAATAATTTCAAATGCTAGAAAATTATAATAGTTTGTCCATTATAATAATATTTTTAATTGTACTTTGAATCTTTGCATGAAATTGCTACTAACATTCATAATTACAGATAAAAGTAATACAATTTCTGTAACATATAAAATTTGTCACGTTGTTTATTAAATAAACCCAGTTAATGAGTATTTTTGCTCTTCAAAATGATACTTTAGTTTATTACAATGTTAATGATCATTTTTAATTAAACAACATTTTAACAACGCATAGTTAAAGTGTTCACGGTATTAAAATAATAATTGCACAACTTTCTGAACTGAGTGCAAAAAAGACAGTTTTATAAAATTTCTCAATTAACATAGTAAGCAGAGCATTCATTATCAAAAGCAATCCCTAAACTTTTCTTTAATCATGATTCAGAAATATAATCAAGGTTTTAATCAAACAATTCACATTCTGTAATCATTTTGTTTGAATGAGATATCAATTTAAATTACTTCACTTTAAATTTAATAAAAAAATATATTTTTTTATATTAGTAAAATACTGTAATGAAAGAAAATTTTAAAAGAAGATGTCAACTTTCAACCTATAAAATTTAGCTCAATTAGCTAATCTCAAGTTTCAACTATAATAATTTTACAGCTGATAGAATTCCAAATAATTAATTGGACCAATTGGACCAATTGGACAAATAAAACCTAACATAGAATAATAAATAAACGATTATAATTATTGAATTTACTCCAGTAGTCTAGTATCAAACAGTAGTGATATCAGATGTTGACTTGAGATTATAGAACGAAAATTTTATATCTAATGAAAATAGCTTTCGAACTCATTGCTACATCACCATTGAAGAAATCTAAGAAACAAAAATCTCATCAGATAGACAATAGTCAGATCACTGAATTGCATCCAATAACACTAGGCCAAGGAATCACATCACAATTATGTATATATAAATATAAAGTGCTGTTGAAAAACATCTACTAATCGAAGCAAAAAGAGCTTGTTTGAAATCTTCGCGTGTTAAACGAATGCCGGTTTCTGCAAATCCGCCATCCATCCTTAGTCATTCCATCAACTTCCTCCTCTTCTTTAGAATTTAACATTCTTCAGCCAGATTACACACTCTGACAGTTACCACTCGCTTGGTGCATTCAGTTCCATAACAACTCTCTCTTGTGTAACGCAACTCGAAAATCAGTTTTAATATTTGACTGGACCAATAAATTATATGAATTTACTTTTATTAATATTTGAGTGAAAACTTTAATATATTCAGTTCAAAATTGTTTTGTGCTTGTTTGATGTCGTGAGTGACCGGATAATTTGCAAGGCGTATGTAGTTTTTATTCGTGAGGACTATTCAGGACCTTAGTGCAAAATGAATAGATATAAATATGCTTTAGGTTTAGTGTGTATAATGTTGCAGTTTCTGGATCAGGCCGGTAAGTTATTGATAATTATTGTTAGTTATTAATAAATTCAAAATTATATTTGTTAATAAATATTATTAAGTGATAATGATTTTAATAATTATGCTTGTATAACAGATAATTATATAAATTTGTGATATTTATATAAATTGAATTATCGTTACAATAATTTGTAATTTTTAATTATTATTATTATATTATTTTTAATTCGATGTATTGGCCATTCATTTTATATTATTCATATATATCATTTTATAGTTTGGGGTATGGATGTTTTCTTCTTCAGGAATTATTAAAAAAAATGAAAGAATTCACTTTTCACGCAAAAACTATATTTAAAAATAGGTGAAGTAATAGACGAAATATAGAAGAATACGACGAAAAATTATCAGGTCACCCAAACAAATATTTAAACGAATATAGTGAGAAATCTTCTACTCAAAGATTGACAAAATATGGTCATACGATCTTAAATATATTATAAAAAAACAGAAATGTCATTGAAAAGCATAAAGACCAGCATATTGCTTAAAAATTAATGTCTATTTTGATCGTCAATAAATATATGCATACAAAAAAAAATAGAAGAAGACCAAAATTATGATATCATTCTCCTAACCTTTTTTTTGTTTCATTCCTATGTCTGCGTATCATCTATAAGAATTTTAAGTTTTATAAAAGTTTTTTGAGTAAATCGGAACAAAACACTCAATTTTCACACGCCTCTATTTAACATTTTTTATGTTGAAATGTTTGATCCCGTAGAATTTTTACTCTGCATATTTACATACATTGTTGCACAATTTTCAAACAAAACTATATAAATAATTCAACAAAAAACAACCTAAGATTGTGGTCTATTATAAATAAATGTATGGATGTAACAATTAGATAAATAAATTTTCGACTATTTTCTGACAAAGTTCTTATGAATTTATATTTTTAAAAATTTAATTAATGAACATTACAATTATTTTAATAAAATAGTGTTATAATTAATTTAATTTGCTCCATTTAATTTTCAAAAATAATATAAATTTTTTTTTATCAATTGTGATTGCTCATATTTCAGTAATATAAATATTCTTCAATAAACATCAATAAATTGGGAGCATGAATATTCTGCACAACCAATTTTAATAAAAAAACATAATATGTAAATAAATGCCAACATCAATAATATATAATAAATTAACAAACTATGTATAGTTTTTAAAATTTCATCAAGAGTGACAAAATTTCGCAAGTACTGCATAATTTTTCATCGAAAACATGAATGACTTGTAATATTTAGACATATTGACATGTGACATTATAGACAATCAATTTTTACTTTCATTTTTATACATGTAATAATAAATAATAATGTATATTGCTTTTTACGACATAATTCATAAAGCAAAACGTGAAGAAGCATAGAAGGTACAAGGAGCATTATAATGATCAATAATTACGTAAAATTAAAGGAAAAAAATTATATAGGTATCTTTAATTAGGCAATAATATTTGAAAATGAAAAAAGAGTATGTATTAACCTTTTTAAAATACGAATAAAAATTAAAAACATTTTATATTTTGTTTCTAATAAGCCACACTTAATCCAACTACATATTCATTATATATAAAAATTAATTGATTAATACATTAGAAATATTGCACTTTAATTATTTATATAATTAATCTACAAATTTAAATAAGTTCAGTTCAATGTAGATTATTTAACGATTTAAATAATCTACAATTATTAAATAAAAATCCTGGCATACAAATTTAGTGTTAATAAATAATAAAATAAAATTATTTACTAAACAAAATTTATTAAACATTTTGATTACTATTAATTGGTATATTAAAGATATTGCGTTTTACAATTTTCAATTTAGTAACATCAAAACATATTTAAATTAATTTTTTTAAATAAAAATCATACTATTCAAATTTGGTGTTAATAAACATTAAAATAAAATTCACTAATTTTTCAAAAATTTATTATACATGTTAAAACAACATTTTTAATTATTATAAATATACATTAAAAATGAACACCATTCATTATAATAACATAGTATTAATTTTGTAACTAAATTAATTCAATTACGATCTAATCATGTAATCTTTCTCATTAAGAATTTATTATACAATCATAAAATTATTATTATTCCACTATTATAAAATAGATCATTATCAAATCAAAATAATACGTTTTTATTGAAATAATTTCTATTCCAAAACTCTCTCCATGACAGCAGTATATGCGAATCATAGTAATTACATTTTTGAGCGTTTAGTAGCGCACACACGTATGTTCATATGAACGGTGAAAGTTTAACACATATTTACAATTCAAACATCAATTTACACATTATTTAACGGTTTCATCGAAAAAAAAGTTATGATTGTTATATAACAGAGATCGATACAAAAAATTGTAATCGAGAGAGAAAGAAATCGATTTTTGGTTATTGATTGCTATTCAATTTGCATACGTCTAGATGCTCTAACTGCGAAATTGAAAAAAACTCATCTTCAAAACACGAAACTGTTTGTAAAATTTATTTAAGCAATTATCAACCTTTTGAAAACTTTTTTCAGGTCCTGGACATAAATTAATCGGCATAATGTGGAACAGATTTTTTTATGTATGTATGTGTGTAGTATGTATAAATGTATGTATGTGCGGATACACATTTTTGTGGCAATTTGGAGAACTAGGATCAACGGATTTGAATAATTCCTATTAAAAAGAAGACGTGCTGATTAGTTTTTGGTCTAGGCAGGTTTAGTCGTTTCAAAGATACAGGTCTAAAACTGCCAAAATTAGATATCAAGTGTAATTTATTTTTGAGAGAACGGAATATCATTTTTTATTTAAATCTATCATATTCAGCCATTTGCATGATTTAAAATTTTTTTACTTATATTGAAAAAATAAAAAAAAGCGTTACATTTTTAGGAAGGCAGGTCCAGCGGTTTCTTAGATCGAATATAAAAAGTAAGTAATTAAATTTGTAATGTTTAGCCTAAATACTGTGAGGCGGCGCTTACGAGCTTCAATATTTAAAAATCATAATTTTCGAAAACATTCAAGAAAAAAAAATTCAAAATTCTACAACTTGCTAAAATTTTGTGACAGTGATTTTTTGTTTTTAATTTTTTTTCTCTGAGTGATGAAACACATTTAGCAACAAAACGTAGAAATTAATAATTATATTTTAGTTATTATTATTTCGACGTATTGCCTCTTAATAAATTCCCCTTAGTTTTCATTTTCATTATTGGATTATTCAACAATAATCAATTTCAACCAACCTCCAAACTTCAAATTTGGCATTCAAATTGTACTCAAATTGAAATGCATCTTTGAGCAACGATCGATACAAGTATTGATATATGTCAATGCTAAACTAATTATGTCATACATAAAAAGCTTGTAAATTACATCGATGTTCGTTTTGTGAGAGGTCAGGTTTAGCGTTTATTAAAATAATATCCGCATGCTCTTTTTCTAACAACTTATCAACAAACATGCAATAAAATGAGTTTTTTGCACCTGATGATGTTTGGCATTGAGTAATAAATTTACTTTGTTATTATACTGTTTTATGTGAAAAATTATAGATTTATTGTAATTAATAGAAGCTAACCAATGATAAGCTGACCGAAATTTTATATTTTTCTCTGATATGAACTGTCTATAATAAATTAATAATAATAATAATAACTTTTAATAATTTATTTATCCAACTTCAATCAACATTTGTTGTTTGTTGCTGATAACATCTTCTCAATTCTCATTCAACTTTACCTGTCTGTAGATTAGTTTTCAGTGTTTTTTTTTAATTTTTATATTTATATTAAATATACTCATTGTTTATTTAATTGAATAATAAAAACGCCATAATGCACCGTATTACCATGTCATAAGTTTTTGGGGTCAATGAGGTTTGTTATTATAAATAATTAGTCTTGCATAAGTAGTTACTTGCACGCATATTTTTATATAGAAACTCTTGGCGCCAACTTGACTTGAATATACCATTGAATAAATATTCTTGAAAGTTAACTTAAACTAGATAATACTTATTTCTAAGATTCTTGACATATAGGACATACATTAGAAGTAAATTAGAGCGATTTATTTTATCACCAAAATACTGAAAAAAAAATATTTGAAGTGGGATTCTAAAACAATTTATACTCGTAATAACTATTACTTCAATATTTATAAAAATTATACACAGTGATATAGTACTTTACTGTGTACAGCTTTGGTAAATTATGAAAATTGAATTATGAAATAGTTTGAAGCACCTATGAAATAACTAAAGACTGGTTCTGACCACTGGTTTATTTTAGAATAAAAACAATTAAGATATTACGTTTAGCCCGAATGTTTGTGATGAAAGTGTCAGATATTCTTATTTTCCACATTAAAAAATATTATACTAGAAATAAAATAATATTAAAATACTTCATATCTAATAAAGAATAATTACATATTCCATAATTACAGCAACAATAGCAATATATTTGCCTGTTATCCTCAGCAATCATTTAAAGAAAACCTACAATTCCAGAAGTGACTTCTTATATAAAATCATGTTTTCCATGGCATTTTATCATTTTTCTAACAATAACTTAAGTGACACGTTTAGAATCGCGTGTCACATTTATCTTGAAACTGACAGGAAGAAAATCTCAATGTAACTGATTTTAATTTATGAAGAAATTTATAAACTTGTACACTTGTTATTTATATATAAACTCTTATTGTGTTTGTTTAGAATAAATTGAAAATATTTTATTAACTTTCCGTTAAGTAGTATAGTAATCGCAAAAAATCGAAAATGAAAATGTTCACATATCTTTCATTTCAGGCATTATGAAAAATGTATGTATGTGTGTGTATGTGTGTCGGTATATGTGTGTATGTACATATAGTATGTAATACTATTTAGAAACAACTAGCACAATTCAATGAATTGTTCATAAAATTATTACCTTTTAATTAAATTTCCAATTTTTTTTATTAACTCAATATTTTATCTCCAGACTGCCAAAGACAACAAAGACAGCAAAAGCCGCCTGCATCCCAGCAACCAGCTCCCAAGCCAGAAACGCCTCAAAAAGCGCAATCCATACGAGATCTCTTCAACACGACTTCATGTCTGGAACCACCGTTCACATGTCCTCATCCTCGAATTCAGATGTACCTTTACACAAGATCCACCCAACAGGAACCAGAATTCATCAATGTTTTAGACAAAAGTTCACTTACCAACTCACATTTCAATCCAACTCACCCTGTCAAGGTAAAGTAAGAAGGATGTAAAAGACATATTTTTTTCTACCTCAATTTTAGCAACAATCAGGAATTATTATTATCCATTCTGATTGAGCACGTACACCTACATGCAATAAAATTATACAGTTTCTTGAACTTTCCTCGATTATCAATCAATACGAATAAATTACACGGAAATCTGTGATTGAATCCAATACATCTTGTAGAACATATAACACGTCAATCAATATTGTTAGAAATGGTAGTTCTTGATGAAAAGTATTGTGCAAGGACTATTATATAGATTGCTTATAGAGTTTCTAATAATTTTATTCTTCATTTGAGTTACGGCTTTTATTACTGTATTGTTATGAATGTTGAAACCATATATATGAAGTGCATTGGATTATAATAAACCACACGCAATAGTGACGCACATTTCACATTTATGCATAAAAACCTCTTTCAAATATATTTGTGCTGGAATGTACTTTTGAATATTGCTATAATTTTCATTAAAATTTATATAATTATGCTATGATATATAAATTATTTATATAATTACGCTATGATATATAAATATCAAATTAAATTATTTCATCAATTTTGTGTCAATTTTATTGTTCATAAATAATATACTGTTAAATGGGTCATCCTGTTATAATTAAAGCCATAAGTTGAATTATGTGATGATCAAGTATCTACCGGTATTTGTGTAGTTTTTATAAAAATCCTTCATTTTCAAATTACAATAAGTATACTTTTTGATATTGTATTATCCAAAAACTAAGTTTTGTAAATTGCTTAATTTGTTGTTTAGCACATTAAACATTACACGTTTAGTACAAGTATAACACTTAATTTTTTTGCAGATTGTGATCCACGGTTTTGGCGGTGGCAGAAATCTTTCTCCCAGCACTGATATGCGAAATGCATATTTCAAACGTGGAGAATACAACATTTTTATTGTAGACTATGGTAGTGCCGTAGTTGAGCCCTGTTTAAGTCAAATGGCCTGGGCACCCAGATTCGCCAGTCAATGTATCGCCCAACTAGTCAAGTAAATATTTGATATTATGGTTAACTATTCAGTTGATAATAGTTTTAAGATTAAGAGACATTCACAAATCAATTATTCATATTATGTTTTAAATATGTTACTTATAATTTTAGGTATCTTCAATACCACCCTAATGGTGTTCAGCCCGACAGATTGCATTTAATAGGTTATAGTGTTGGTGCGCATATTGCGGGATTGGTGCCAAATCATATGAATAAAGGAAAACTAGGGCGCATCACAGGTATTAATATCAATAAATTATAGTCACTTTCAGATTTCCACTATTTTTATAGACATATCAGTATTCATAAGAATTATGATAATTCTGAAGTCAATGATTTTTTTTGATAATGACAGTGTAATTTGCTGCAATATGTTACAAGTAAATATATGCTATTTTTAGGTCTAGATCCAACAATTATTTTTTACATGGGTAACAACAGATCTCTGGATTTGGATCCAACCGATGCCAATTTTGTAGATGTCATTCACACTGGCGCCGGTATTCTAGGACAATGGGGTCCAACAGGTCATGCGGATTTTTATGTTAATGGGGGATCTAGTCAACCGGGATGTGCCAGCACGACACTTTTTAGTAAGAAACTGTAGAATTACTATTTTTATGAAATAAAAATTGAATTATATATTTTTATTTATACATAACATCTAAGACAACTTGGTGAAACTTGCCAATGCACATTAGTACATTTTTTTCGCAGGAGGTTTGTTCAAAGTAGACCAATTTTGAAAATTCTAAATTTATGGTTTAACAATTAGTTTTACTTATAATTCCAGAAAACTGAGATTGTATCATAATTTTGGAACCTAAATAGAATAGTAGCTGTTTTAATATAATGGCACTGAGCTGTTATAAAATAATAACTGTTTTGACATAAAACTTTTAACATAAATTGGAAAAAGATACAGGTCTGATATATTGACTATGCTAAATCTAATGGGTTTATTATTTTAAATCTTCTGGGGATATTTGAGAAAATCTTCATGCTACTTAATTCAGATAGTTTTCGAGTCTTATCTTGACATAACATATTTTATAATTTTTTTCCCCCTCAGAGACATTATCGTGCGACCACACAAAAGTAACACCTTATTTCATCGAAAGCATCAACAGTCCGAAAGGCTTCTGGGCCGGGCCTTGTGCCAATCTGATCTCTTATCTAATCGGATGGTGCGAACCGAAGGATGATGAATATGTCCTAATGGGAGAACACATATCACATAAGTAAGTCTCTTATTTGCTGTATGTGCATACTCGATGAATAGGAAATGATTGAGTATGCTGTTTACGATTCTTATTACGTAAGATAAAAATAAATAGCAGCTGTAAGAAATTCACTTAGAAATATTGAGAGATTAAATTAAGTTGAAAATACATGCTGTGAGTTGGCATGCTTGTAGGTAAGTTGGCTAGGAGGAGTGGACTTGAATCAGAGGTCCCGGGTTCGATCCTAAAACAGCCTGTTGCCAAGTAGTAACATTTTAAAAAGAAATATAGAAAGCAATATGTTTCTAAGTAAAAACACCTCTCATGCGGCATTGCTATACCAATAGAAGTATTTGCCCTATTATAGAAATTGTATTAATAATATATCTTACAGAGATGGGACAACTGTTTGGGTTGCCACCTGTCGAACCAACTAGTATTAGGTAAAATTAGCACAACAGCTTGTAAGACTATTAAGTTGAAAATATGCAGCAACATGTAGTAAGAATATACATATATGGAATTTGTACAGTTTACAATTCTATGTAGTAGTGGTCAGAGCTATGGGATTCTAATCAGAAGTCCAAAATTGGATACTTGCCTCGGACAGCCTAATGTCAAACATTTTTGGGCCTTTGTCTTCAATGATTCAAATCATTGATCATTTTCATATATCAATTATATATATATTCTATCGTTGCAGTATTCATTGATTTCTGAACTAACATACATCATACGTTGTTCAAAATTATTGAAAATATATTCAATCAAATAGTAATTCCATATCATATAAATTTCTTTCTCAATTTCCATTCTGCAGCATCCGAGGACATACGTCGCCAATTCAAATATTTTCCACAATACGTACTTTAATATCATGTATCTAGTATTAATACACATATATGTATTATAGAGCACGAGGAATCTATTATGTGACAACCAACGCAAAACCTCCATATGCCAAAGGATTTCCAGGAAAAGGACGCCATAGAAGGGCGCAATCTCTTCGAGGAGGATTAGCTTTTACATCACGAACTCGTACTGTATAAGCAAGTAATTTTATCGTATATTGTATTAGTACCTGGAAAATAGTTCTCAGTTCTATTAGTAGAATAGTTAGGCAAATTGAAAATAGTTTTGAAAGAAGTGAGAATTAGAACAATGCTGAAACCGCAGCAGATATTTGCAGATGAATCAAGAGTTTGGGAAATTTGAATACTTTACAAACGTTTTTTAAGGTATTATGATTCTAAGAATCACTTATACAATGAACTAAAAATTAATTACATTTCCTAAATCAACAATTTCATTACGTTGACAGCCAAATTATGCTTTTTCATTATGCCCCAAAATAAATATTTAAAGGGTGAAAATAAAAAAATAATGTTGAAATCTATATTGCTTAGCTAACAAAATTGATTTTAAATAAAAACAAATTAATCATGCTTAAAATTAAAATTTTAGGTATACTATTTATTTTTAAAATTTTAATTGTCTGTGAAAATTTACAATTATTTTCTAAATATGCATTTTTTTTTAAGATGGAAATATTTTTTTAATCATGCAACGTTTTTTTTAAAAATGCGAAATAAGTTTATATTCAACTAATCTACTAATTTCTCTCAATAACAAAATATACATGAATACACTTCATTCTCTGGCACACTTCAAGAACAAAATTTTGAGGTTTAGTACCCAAAAATTTACGAAAGGTTTCAGTTGTTGTTATTCATTGAAAACGTTACCAAGTATGTATTTTCATATTGAAAAAATATATACAAAAGTGAATTAATTCTAAGTTTACTAGTTACTTTAGTAGTTAAATTCATGTGTTCTAATTAATATCTAAATTTGTGCTGTTAGGTATGCAGTATAATTTTACAAAAATTATGCAAAAATTTAAAATTTAGATTAATGAGAAAGCTCATCTCGTGATAGCATACTTATTATATAGATTTTATACTATAATTCTCAGTTTAACTTTAGTATAATAATATATAAGATTAAATATTACAGAATTCATCACATATTGCCTCTATTGTACAGCAAAAGCCAGTTGAATTTAGTTTAAATTTAGAATTAATATTTATTTTCAATGTAAGTTAGTCATATGCCGCATTTATTCTTTATGTAGATTAATAATTCATGCTTGTTTTTTGCAGTGAAAATTAGTTTGTGTAAAGAAACTTGAATTAAAATAATTATGACATGTACGATCTACAAGACTGTTATTTACTACAAGATTAAAAATATTTTCCAGGAAACCACATGACCATGAGGTAAATATAAAAAAGAAATTTTATAAAATTAATATTTTATTTTGATGAATGTGCAAAGTGCAATAAATTTTGTTGAGATTTAAAAAACAAATTTGAGACCCATAAACTCTGATGTTAAATCTTGTTGATTTGACGCAATTTATTGCCAGCCACATAAAATGATCTTTACTTTTATATTATATTGGTTTAGATGTTAGTGTTACTTGAGTGTTTCTAATATCTCCATTTTTATTGCTATGTTGAAAAAGTCCTCGAGAAGTACACTTAATTATATTGACGTCTTCCTATTAACGAGAATGGTTTTGAAAGTTTCATTAAGGTGCCATCAATTTGCGCACCGATACGGAAATTGAAGGGTAAGAGTTTGTTGTGAAATCTTTATTACTTAAGAGACAACACGTAAATTATTATTTAGTCAAAATCTTATTACGCAGACATGAACTGGAATAGAAGGTAAAATCTACAAGACTTTTAAAAACATACAAAATTTTTTAAATTTTATTCTATGTGGTAACTACCTCAAGATAACCTTGAAAATAAATATACTAAATTTATTTTATTTGTGAAATTTAGGGGCCGATTCTGCCTTAAAATAAACCAATGTTATGGCAAAGCTATGGTCTATTTTATGACAGAATTGGCTCCCTAATATACACACAAAATACAAATTAGCCTTTTAGGCACTTTCAGACCAATATTTTATTTGCAGTTGGGAAAATATTTTTGATCATCTTGTTTTATTAAATTACTATTCTTACTTAATTAATTTGAATTGAATTTCTAATTTTAATTGAAATTCAATTTGAAAGTTAAAATAAATATGTAATAAAATACACTATAAGTAATTCGCAGGTTAATTGATGCATTGAAGCAATTTAAAACGCGGTGGGTATAAATCCCATTATCAAATTGCATTAAATTTTCTTATATATTACATATGAAACATTGATTCTTATACATTACATATGAAAAAGTGCACTAAATCCCTGTCTGATGTGACTGTACTCATGCATTGCAAAAATGAATTTCTGCGTTCTTGAACAATATTATATCAGGCGGAATTTGCATTTCATTCTCGAATACTGCATTGCATATACGTAATACAAACAATTGTACACAATAGAAAATTATTTGGAAAATAGAATAAATTTGCCAAGGAATAACTAGGTATGCACACTAACTGTCGGTAAAATAACTTTATCATCGAGTACCAATATAAAAAAATATACTTTAGAATATTTGCATGTTTTTATTAAAGATTTAATTTTATGTATTTTTTCTGATTACTAAAGCCTATGACTTGAGTAATTATGAAATTTTTTTAAATGAATGCAATTTTTATATATATTTGCGCTTATTACATTCTGAACATTAGCAAATTTTTGGTCGTACTTAAAAAATGTCTAAATCGAATGCCAATCCATTTTCCAGGCAGCCATTAAAATTATTATTACATTGCATTTTATTATGTGCGCTTCAATTATTTAGAAGTGTGTACCTAACATACTATCAAAATCAAATAAAATATTTGTTTGGTAGTTGCATAATGCATTGTACACTCGCACTATTATGCTTTGCAATATTGTATTTAATTACTTTATAAAGTGTCACGACTGATTTAATTGCAGTTTGCAAATAACAACCATATTTTGAACATATGCACTTTATTTGAATTATATGGGAATAATAGTTTCTGTAAATACGGATATTAATTCGCAATGATATACTATATATCTGGTTAAACTATGTATACGGTTAAATTGAAATTTAATAAACCATAAAATAAGTATACTGTTGTTCTCAACTTTTACTCAATTTTATTTTTAAATTACGGTTGTTCTAAATACTATCATATTTCTATGACATACAGTTACTACAAAATGTATAAATATCAAATATGTTTTGCCCATAACTGAAAGTATTAGAATATCATACAGATATCCTTTACTTTACTTGATATAAAGTTTGCTTGACATTTCAAACACACATAACTTTAAATTTCTGAAGTGGCATTATTTTTCAATAAAATGATGTATCCTTACAATCTTATCTTGAAAGTATTCTTGACTTATGGCATATATACAAAATATCACTTGAGAAGTTTTCTATTGAAAAACTATCATCTGAACTTCTTCAATATTTGATATCGATGAGATGGTTGAACTTTGCAGTATCCCTCATAAGCAATTCAGGGGGTTGGATGCAGTACATGTATCAACTAAGTGGTGCATGGCATTGGGACTTGAGGCAAATTGCTAGAACTTCAACAACAATTGATCACTGGTTGATAACAATTGTTTTAATTTTTTTAATATATTTTTTTATATTTTTTATATTTTATATTGTTTAACAGCAATCAGAACCTTACGTCCTATGAGCTGTTGGGCTGAAACTTCTCCTTACTTCGTATTTTTTAGATAGTAACCCAATTGTTAATCCACCCAGATTTGATGATTTTGTTATTAGAATTAATCTAATAGGGCTGACATTTTATTGGTGCAGCAATGCCGGGTGAGGGCTATTTTCACTTGGAAACATATTGCTATCTATATTTCCAAGTGAAAATTGTTGTCACTGCTGCCTGACAACAGGCTGCTCGAAGTGGATATCGAACCCGGGACCTCTGAAACAAGTCCCGTCGCTCTTAACCGCTTACCTACGGGCGAGCCCCAGTTAGAAAACTGATACAGAAATATTATGAATTTAGTTTAAATAGTTTCCTTAATTTTTGACTGAAAGAAAATTAAGCCATTAAAATTTGAAAGGTAATGAGTAAATATCTTGCAAATTCCTTACAAATTTGTAGTGTTAACAACATGCATAATGTGTTAATTTGTGAAAACTTGGGGAAATTATGTCATTGTATTGGTGTGTGGTCTTAGAAATGTCATTCACGGTTACGGTTCAAAAGTTTAATCCAAAAACAAACAAGAAATAGTCTCAGTTTGACCAATGCTCTGGTCTGTACTTAAAAGATCATAATTGTCTAACTACCGAATACAAATGTTTTTCTAATTTTTTTCTTGATAGCTACGATCAATATTACCAATCATTTTTGACTTGACGTTGAATTCTGGGACACCCTGGTTGTATGTATGTAATATATTGATTGTAACGTTATTTGTTCATCGAATTGAAATCAAGAAATGTATCCTTTCCGATTGCATTCGAGGAATTGTGTAATAAATAAGAAGCACGTCACCGCAACATTTGTAAATCCGACATTTTCGTTCCGCAGGATCGGAATCGGAATCGGTCTCTCAGTTCTGTACCGTGGAAACTGCGCAATTTTCGCACAGCGCATCTGTCGGTCCCGCGTGGCGTGTGGGCGGCTTACAGAATTCTGTATGCGGATCCGCGGCGTTGCGTGGGCTCTAAATGTCAAAGTTGAACCGAAGGAAGGCGAGCCTCGGACGTGCCACAGCGCACAGGAGCACTGTCCGGGGTCCGACGTGTTATAAAACATTCTGTTAATTACATATCTCAACATGAGAATCTTTCCATGATGCCACCATCCGATACCTACGATGAGTTTAGAGATAAAGCCCTTTGTTGACCAGATGATCGAGATAGAAACGCAAAGGCATAAAAGGATATTCTTAATTTTCATTATATAATTATTTCTTATATTTAATTTCCCAAAGGTAAATTATAGTAATTGCAAAAAAAAAATTGTATATGTGTATGTATGTGCGGATACAATTTTTTGCCGATGTTTTTGAGAGCTCAGTTCAACCGATTTGAATGGTTCAAAAAAGCTTCCATTTCTATTGCTTATCTTTGAGAGGTCTAAACATTTTGACATACTTTAGAAAAAAATGGATGTATGTATGTGCATGTATGTACGTGGTGTGTATGTATTTACGTGTGTGTGTATGTATGTGCGGATACAATTTTTTGCCGACGTTTTCGAGAGCACGGTTCAACCGATTTGAATGGTTCAAAAAGCGTTCCATTTAAATATTGATGGAAAGGCATGCTTATTATTTTTGTCAAATGCAGGCCCTGTAGTGTATGTGTGTATGTATGTATTTACGTGTGCGTGTATGTATGTGCGGATACAATTTTTGGCCGACGTTTTGGAGAGCACTGTTTATTCACCGATTTTAATGGTTTAAAAACATTTTTTTTCTATGTATGGAAAGATATGCTGATTATTTTTAGCAAAGAAGGCCCAACCGTTTCGATGCTACGGGAAAAAGGACCAAAAATTGCAATTAAAATTCGATATTCAAGAAACATATCAATTGTATTGACATATTGAAGAATTGGTAGAATTTTTGGAACGACAGGTCCAGCGGAGATCTAATAAATAAAAAAAATATTAATTTGGTTAAACATTTTATTTCATCACCTCATATGACTTTTATGTTCTGGTTGCTGCCCAAGTAATAAATATAAAAAAGCAAATAAATTCTTTCGTGTTCAATAGTAAATGTTCTTCATGACTTATTGGTTATATTCAGATAACCACTTAAAATCTGAATATTAAATTTCTTTTTTAAGTATATATTTGTTGCAATGAATAAATATTTATACCTTTGTAAAATTTTTAGTTACTATTTACGTTCTGAGTATTTTGCATTACTAAAGAGGTATATGTTTTCATTGTTTCATTTCATTTTGTCGTAAAGACAAAGTTGATTGGAAATAGTAAAAACCTTGTTATAAATATACCAAATTTTTTAACTAACGTATTGATTGAAAAGCGATTATTTAAGCAATAAATTTTTTAAATATTTTAAATTGAATTAAATTAATAAAATTTTGATTATCAACTTCAATTGACTTAAGATTATAGATTGCAATTATGACTTAATGAAGCGATAATAAAATTTTGGGGTTTAAATGCAATATTTACGTTACAAATATATTTAATATAATCTTACCAGACAGAGATTGTTTAACACAGGGTTGTTTTATCGAAATACTAGATACAAAATAAATTCAATAGAGCAAATTCTTAATGCTGTTAATATATAAAAATGCTGCATATATTT